GACGGTAGGACGTAGGACGGAGGACGGAAGGAGGAGGAGGAGGAGGAGGAGGAGGGTAGGTACGGGTACGGGAGGTAGGAGGAGGAGGAGGAGAGAGAGAGAGAGAGAGAGAGAGAGGGAGAGATGTGGGGTAGGGCTTACGGCAGAGAGCGGGGCAAGAAGGGTTTCGGGCTGGCCTGTTAAAATTCTGACCTAGCCTCGATAAACATTTACTTTTTTCTTGGCCCAGCCTGGGCCTAGCTTGAAGCTCGTACTCGTACCAAAATGGGCCTGAATTCCAGGCACAGCCGGGGCCATTGGCAGCCCTATACTCTTTGAGTGCTCTAAACCACGATTCAGTTGGAGTACTCCGCCCATGCCTGAGCCGAGTACTTATCTCGAGTCCGAGTAACTCGGCCCAAGTTGGGCTGATTAGCATAATAGAAAAAAAGTGTTAAAAAATAAAGACAAAAATCTAAAAAAAATAGGAAATATGTGTTTAAAGTAAGATTACACAAAAATATCTAAATGAAGTTAAAAAAATAATAAAAAAAATGGATTTCAAAAGATCAATTTGTGATCAAAGGTATTTTTAAAATAATCCAAAAATGTAAAAAAAATATTTATGGCCCAAACACTTTTCAATTTTGTCGAAATGATAAAAAAAAATATCACAAATAAATTACTTTTTTGGGATTTTTTGTACTTTTTTTAATTTTTTTAAATACCCAAGAGTGGTACACCCAACTCGAAAAAACTTGGGCTCGAGTGCTTGAACTCAAACGGAGTTGTCGAACATCGACCGTATGTTTCACTCGGTTGCAAAGGAGTATGCATTTATTGATCAAGCGTACTACTAGTGATAATGCTAGCACTCTAGATTTTCCCTGGTATTGTATATTGACACGTGGATATGTATTGACACGTTAAGATACGTGATCGACATGCCATCTATACGTATTGCACAATTTGTTATTTCGAACGTGCCAACACTTTTACATTATGTACCCATGCCTTAGGCGCGCATTTGTGGGACTTGAACTCATGACCATTTGAGATGGCATTAGGAGCGCATTTGTGGGACTTGAACTCATGACCATTTGAGATGGCATTAGGAGTTGTAACCAGTGTTGGAAAAATTGGCCAGTTAGAATCGGAACCGAAACCGGTTGGTTAGATCGTAATCGGTAGAATCCTGTCTCCATGGTTTTGGGGGTATAGTCATAGGGTAGAGACCCTCCTAAATTGTCTGAACCAAAACCGGCCAACTAGTATACAAATGGTCGGATTTCTAACTAATTGGCTGGTTTTCTACTAACCGGATCGATTGGATGGATTTCTAACTAACTGGCTGGTTTTCTACTAACCGGACCAGTTGAGTGATATATTAGGCGTTTTGTTTTAAAAAACGGGCATTTCAAAAAAACGGGCGTTATTTCCCATTGTTGGTCGTTATATGTAGTAGAAGTCCGTGATCCATTTTATTTTCTTTTTTGAATCCTTTTTTTTGCCATGTTTTGGCATTTTTCGGTGCAATATTGATGTATCATTTGATTTTATCTATAAAACAACAAATTTGGAATTAAAAATACAAAAAGAAAGAGTTTCAGTGGATTAAAATGGTGGATTTTCAAGGGTTTTGAAATTTCCACCATTTTTGTATTTACCTCTTCTATATCGAATTAATCTTGAAGAACGTAGGGGCGTTTGATAGATAATCGACACATTTAATAGTTTTGTGTTTCAATTTGTTCAATCTATAAAATATGTGGGTCAATTTTGGCTCGAAAAGCTGCTCTTCAAAAAAACTGAGTTCTATCCAAAAAAGCAGATTTTTGATCAATTTATTGCTTGTTTTTTATCAAATTGTTGTGGATTTTGATCATCAAAGCTTTATCTCTCGTATAAAATAGGTAAGTTTATTTATTATTTAGTAAATTTTATACATAAATTTTTTCTTGCTCGATGTCATGAAAATTTCATAGATCTAAAAATTCTGCCATTTTTTTAATTTAAATAAAAAATATCGAATATTTTTTTATGAGATTTGGTGCGTTTGAAAGATAATCAAAACCTTTTTACAATGCATGTGTATTGATTTGTTTGATTATCCGAACAATGACGAAAGTTTCTTGCTCGAAATGTTGCTCGATTTTAGGGGTATTTGAGAAATTGATTTTTTTTTAGAAAACTTATTTTGCTTGATAAAATTATATATTTTTTGATGAATTTGAGAAGTGTTTTTTATTTTTCTTAATAAAATTATGTTTTTTTATTAATATGACAAAAAAATCAATTATTTTTTATTGTTATATTTTTTTCCTAACAAAAAAAATAAGTACATAATGATGTTGCTCAATTTTTTTGTGGTCGATTTTTATTTAATTGTTATTTTTTAAGTGCATTACACTGGGACTCTCCATGGTTTTAATCGATAAACTTGGATTTCCAATTTTTAGTTTTTTTGGTAGTGGAGATAGAGTGGAGACATATCTCATTAGGGCACAACTTCCAGGATCCTAATGTCTTTGAAAACTAATATATCATGTATATTGATTTCGTAATCTATATCGATGAAACCTTGACTCGAATGCAAAACGGTATATAATAAGACAGGTTTTTTTTTTATTTTTTGCTTGGTTTCGGTTCTAACCTCTCTCGGCCTATGTCCAGTTAACAATTCCAGTTCAATTTTATGTATATATAATTATAAAATATATTTACTTATATATTTATTAATTGCATCTACTAACTAAAGTGAAATGCCATAAATGCATATTGGTGCACTTATTATTTAAAAAGTAAAATAACAATAAAGGATGTTCATATCTTTATGCATGTTCATTAATGAATGGAAGTCTCATTCTATGGGTGTTTGCAAACTTCTAATTTGAAATTCATTATTCACCCAAAAAATTAAAATTAATTGATGTACTTATGCAAGTATCTAATATGTTAAATGTGTGTATGTGCGGACGTGTCGGTGCCATACTAGGCCTTTGGTGCGGTGTACTAGATACGATACCCATGTCGGTGTCCATGTAACACTAATCTTTATACATGCCCATTAATGAATGAAAGTCTTAGTTTTTTTTCTATATATTACTATAATTATCATATGCATATTCTTATTAATATAATTTATTGCCATATTTTATAGGTTGCGGTTTTTATAGAGCCGAGGCTCTAAACAATCAAAGTAAAGCACACCTTCAAAGAATGTCGAAAAATGTGGTTTCAATATTGAAAACTTTGTGAAAGCCTTATTATATATTTTCATCTTTAATTATAAAATTTAAAGCTTAAAAAATAGTGTACATCGAGCAAAACTTGAAAATCTTGAAAATGGTCGAAAAATGCTTTACAAGATGCACTATTTCCAAAACTTGAGATCCAATTTTTTTTTTCTCATGTCCATGCATCTTGATGTCAAGACGATCGATTTGAGGATATCTGAGCATCAAAACAACCTCTTTTGGTGAAATTTTTGAGATGAGCTCTAATTTGATCGTTTAGAACCTCGACTCTATATAAATTTTTTTCTATTTTTTATGAATATGGACTCAAAAAATACCATCTTCTATAAAAAAATAATTTAATTTATTAATTAAATGATTTATAATCCGTAATATAAATTACTCTATATACAATTTGAATTTGCAAACTTTTAATTTGAAATAATTATTTACCCAAAAAAATTGAAATTAATTGATGTACTTATACCAGTATCAAAGGTGTCATGTGTGTGTAAATGTACGTGTTGGTGTCCCAATGTACTAGATACTCACACACTAGAACGATACTTGTGTTGGTGTCCATGTGACGCTCTGATGTTTCTCAGACATTTGTGCGACTAGAAAGAATTGTGATCAGAAAATTAGGAAAACAT